TCTCCAAGTAACACGCTGTATTGCCGATTCATTTAAGAATTCTCAATTCACACTAGGCATATTCATTGACTTGTCAAAAGCTTTTGATACTGTTAATCATCATATTTTAATAAAAAAGCTAGAGAGCTATGGTATAAAAGATAAAACCCTAAATTGGTTCAAAAGCTATCTAAGTAACCGCAAACAATTTGTTTATAACAAAGAATCTTCATCACAAATAATAAAAAATATAACATGCGGTGTCCCCCAAGGGACCATACTTGGACCACTATTATTTCTATTATACATAAATGATCTTTACAAAGCTTCTACCCTAACGACCGTAAATTTTGCAGATGATACGAATTTATTTCAGTCGCACGAAAACATAGAAATACTTTTTAATAATATGAATAATGAATTAAAAAGAATATCATATTGGTTTAGAAAAAATAAATTGTCCTTGAATACGGATAAAACAAAGTTTATACTTTTTCACCCAACCTCTAAAAAAAGAGAATCCAAAATATCTTACCTGACCTATTCATTGACAATACAATCATAAAAAAAGAAAAATTTACAAAATTTTTAGGAGTCATAATAGATAAAAACTTATCTTGGAGTCAGCAAATTGATAGTATTTCAATGAAAGTTGCTAAAAACATTGGAGTTCTATACAAAGCTCGATATATACTAAATAAAAAGCAACTAACTCAACTATATTATTCATTTATTCATTGCCATATAAACTATGCCAATATTATACGGGGAAGCGCTCACAAAACCAAACTTAAATCTCTCTATCGGCATCAGAAACACGCAGCTCGCATAATTAATTTTGGAAATCGTTTTTCAAGCTCAACACCACTTCTTATAGAAATGAAAGCTTTAAATATATACGAACTAAATATTTTTAATATTTTATGTTTTATGTTTAAATGTAAAGAAAATTTATCTCCAAGTGTATTTATAAATCTCTATAATTTGAAACCAAAAAAAACAAATATGAACTTCGTGATAGTAAAAATATTCAAGAGCCGTTTTGCAAAACAAAAATTGACCAGTTTTGTATTTCTTATCGTGGTCCATTTTTATGGAATAAAATAGTTTTACCTAACTTTGATTTTTCTTTTAAATGGTCTTATTCCTCCTTTAAAAAGAAAACAAAAGAAATAACCTTTTCAACACAAAATATATTTATTTATTTTTAGTATTTCAAGTTATTTGATATTTTTGTCGACTGTGTGATGAATATTATTTAAACAATATATGCTGAATACTTTATATTATAATATTGTTTAATATTGAGAATGTTATATATCCATATTATAAAATATTATGTTAAAACTTGCTTAACATCTGAAGAATATTCTAACGCTTATGTAATTTTTAATATTTGTAAACTTTCTACCTTTTAATTCGTTATATAGATTGTAAAGGGCTTCATGATAAGATCATGTGATCTTCTGGAAGTCCTACCAGTAATATATTCAATGTAAATTTACCTTGTTCATATTTTTCTGGAAAAAAAAAAAAAAATTATTATATATACTTTATTTTGCTGATTAAACAGTTACAATAACAATTTTCATATAATCATGTAAAAAATATATAAAATACACGTCGTAAAGATAAACATGATAAAAAACGTTTTTTCATAATTTTTTTATTTTATATTATCTATACTCTGTTCTAATCAGTTAGGGACTCAAAGAAGGTAAGGATGATGTGTTTAACATCACAACTTTTTCATAGAGCCCCTATAGTCACTCATTATAAAGACAATTTAATTTTTAAAAATAAAATAAAAATTCAATAAAAACAAAGCTCATATTTATTTAGTGTAACAAATTCAAAAACAAAAAATATTAAAAACAAGAAAAATAAGAAGTCAGAAAAAAATATATATATATAAATAAAAACAAATACTGTAAAATTAAACAAATATATATGTCAGGAATTAAGAAGATGCATTTTAGTTTCCCGTTTAAACGATGAAATGCTTTTTAGGTCTTTAATATTTTTATTTTAGAAATGATTCCATGTTGATGGGCCACGGTTTGTAATTAAAAAATTTGACTGATGTGAATTAATTTTCCCTAAGTGATAGTTGTACCTGGTATTTGAACGCAAATTATATTTTTCAGAAAACAATATCAAGAAAGTATCTGAAAAAACGCTTGGTAGGAGGTTGTTCTTATACTTATACATAAAAATTATTATCTGTAATGTGTTAAACTTCTCAATATCTAGAACCATCATGTTTTTCATCACTGGGGCCGGGTTTACTAACCTATTTAAATAGTTTATTACTGTTTTTGCAGGCTTTGCAATTTTAGCAGTTTGGTTTTATGGGTGCTGGCCCATAGAATATTTGCGTACAAAAGTTGACTATGTACAAGACTAAAGTAAAGCATATTACGCGATTTACTATCGAGAAAAGGTCTCGGCTTATACAAAACGCCTATTACAGAGGACATTTTTGTTTCAAGGAGACCAATATGGTTTCTCCATGACAAATTTTTATCAAAAAGCACTCCCAAAAATTTTGTACATTTTTCACGTTTGATTACATTTTTATTAATAAGCAGTTTAGGAAGCTTTAAAGGGAGATTAATTGATTGTTTTTTTTTTATGAAAAAGTGTAAAACTAGTTTTTTAACAATTTAGAGATAATTTATTTGCTATGAACCAGAGGTTGAATTTTTCAAGTTCAATATTCATAGTTTCAAACAAAGTCTTTGCATTAGGATGATTAAAAAATAAATTTGTATCGTCAGCATACATAATTGTAGATATTTTTTGGGATGCTTTATGCATATCGTTAATATAAATTAAGAACAATAATGGGCCTTGGATTGAACCCTGAGGAACTCCACACGTAATATCGAGGGCTCCCGACTTTTCTAGTAATACAAATTGCTTTCTGTTAGATAAATAGCTTTGAATCCACTTAAATGTTGAGCCTATTATACTTTAGTATTTTAGCTTGGAAAGTAAAATACTGTGATCAACCGTATCAAAGGCCTTAGAAAGATCAACAAAAACTCCTAATACCAGCTCATCACTATCAAACGACTTGAATATTTTGTCAGCAAGTTTAATAATAGCATGTTCAGTAGAACACCTACTTTGAAATCCAAACTGATTTTTGTATAATAAATTGTTTAATGTACTTGAAAGTACTGGAAGAAGAGAAATAGGTCGGTAGTTGGAAACATTAATGCAATCACCTTTTTTGAGAATTGGATTAATTTTGGCTAATTTAAGTTTGTTAGGGAAAATACTATTTTCGAATGAAAATGATATTAAATAAAATAATGGTTTACTAATGCTGTCCATTATATAAATTGCTACATTACTGGAAATACCATCATATCCACATGACTTGTTGCGTTTAAGTTCGATAATTGCTTTATTAAATTCAATTTTAGTTATCGTTTCATTATTTAAACTAGTTGTGGGTTTTTCTCCCAAAAACTTATCAAATGTTTTATTTGGTTGCACAATGTAGAAGCAAGGGGCTTACATTAACAAAATATTTTGTTAAATTCTTGGCATATTTTTGTTGTACTTGTTATAATTTTTTTTTATCGGAAATTAGTTTTTCTGGTAAGCAAGTCTGCTTCTTTTTCTCTCTTTCTGTTAGCTCGTTTATAACAGCCCAAGTCCTTTTTATGTCGAATCTATGCTTGTCAAGCTAATTAGAAAAATACCTTATTTTTTCTTCTTTCATACTATGTTGAAAAAACTTTTTATAATACTTGTATATTTTTTCATCTACTTTATTTTTTGATTTCAAAAATTTTACGTAAAGTTTTTGTTTTCTTTTTGATGCTTTAATTAAAGTTATTGTCATCCATGGATTCTTATATTTTTTGTTTTTTATTTCTGTAGTTATTTTTGGGCATACATTATCAAAGATACTTTGCAATGTGTTTGAGAAATGGTCAAACGCAATGCTAGGATCTGTTGATAAGTATACTTTATCCCATTGTTCTACTTGTAGTTTGTTTTTAAAATTATTTAAGTTTTTTATAGAAAGATTTCTGTAAGTCACAAAGCATTTTTTATTGTCGATATTAGATTGTACTTCGCGTGCAATATGGAAAACGGGAAAATGATCAGAAAAGTCTGCAATAAAGAGTCCTGATTCAAATTTATTATTTAGGGAACAGTTTGTTAAAATATTGTCAATCACAGAAGATGATTGATTAGTAATGCGCGTGGGTTTAAATATGGTGGGTATTATATTAAATTCAAATAATAAATTGAAAAAGTTTTCTATGTTTGCAAACTTTTCATAACTTAATGCGTCCATATTTGTATCTCCGACAAAAAAAACGTGCTTGTTTTGTTTACTCATTTGAGACATAAAAGTTTTTAAGATATTAAGGAAGTTGTTTACCACATGGCGGTCGATACAATGAGGAGATTAAAAACGATTTACCAGAAGTATTTAACACTTCAATGCACGAAGTTTCAATATGTTTATTTGTTTTTGAAAAAGTGCTGTTTTTTTTAAATTCAAATTTATCAAGAATATACACTGCAACGCCACCTCCCTTGCTGTTTACACGTGGTTGACTTATCATTTTACATGAAACTAAATTGTATAGGGAATTTTCTGACATGGGCAAGTTTGCATCTTCCCAAGTTTCTGATATACATATTACGTCAAAAAGAAAATTTAAAGAATAATAAAAATGTTTAAATGATTCAAAATTTTTGTTCATTGACCGTATATTTATACTTAAAATGTTTAAATCTTTGTTAAGCTTTTTTCTCTTAAATTCTTCCGGTTTATAGTATTCATTATTTAAGTATTTAATACCTATTTCATTCAAAAAATTATAATCATTTTTGTTATATTTCAAAATTTCAAAAATTGGAGATTTTTGTTAAATTTGCTTCATTATTATTAATTGTTTTAGATATATTCATTGTTAATATTATCTTTGAATAAAAACCTTAAAATTTAATATCTAATGAAACTATCAAAACGTAAATAAATAAATTACTTGCTTTCAACACCTTCGTTCTCGTTTATCATATCTCTTACCACTAATCGATTGTAAATGACTTTCGCGTATTTTCCGTTACCACGATGTATTTTAGCTTGTACAAAAAGTTCTTTACGAATTTGCATTGTTTCATCACTATAGTCTTCGTTAATATATATATATTTCCCCTTGAGTTTACGAGCGTTGAATAAGATGTTTTCCTTGTCCTGCCAGTTTTATATTTTGAAGACAATAGTTCTAGGCTTTCCACTAAACTTACCGACACGATGCGCTCTTTCTATAATAACTGGACCCGCAATTTCAAGGTCTTCTTTAATTAGTAGGTTTGCTTTTTTTACAACATCATTAAAAGATTCGTTGTTTTCTTCTTTGATTCCAACAATTCTTAAATTGTTACGTCGGTTTCGATCCTCAAGATCGACAGTTTTTCTTTTATTTTCAATCGAATCGCTGCTTAATTTTCTGTGGAATGATTTAATACCCACAATAGTTTCTTTAATTTCTGCCATTTTACTATCAACCTTGCTTACTTTTGTCTCAATTTGATCACCAACAAAAGTAAGCCCACGTTTTATTTCTTCAATGTCTTTGGCTAAGTTCTCAACTTTTTCCAGGACACTGACCAAACTTTCCTTAAAGCATTTGAAAATTGTATCTCCTTGTATTGACATGAGTTCTCGAAGCATTCCCATCGTAATTACTTTATCGTTATCAATTTTTTATGTTAACACGTGGAACAGATGGCATAAACAGCAATATTGTTGTAGGATGTTTTGAACACTTAAAAGATTTTTAAAGTTTATGAAGCAAGAAGTTTTTATCCACCAAGAAAGTTTTTCCTCAACAATTAAAAATCGCTAAACCCATTTTAAAAGAAGGTGATCAAACAAATATCATTAATTATAGCCTATCTCTATCTTCTCCACATTTTCATAAAATAATTAATAAACTATCCAATTAATACGTGAACTCTCAATTCTTTTGAAAATTCTAAATAGATGTTTTGATTGACCAATCGGAAGTGTTTATGATACTGTCTATTTTGAAATTTTGCTACAACAGCTAAAATACAATAGAATAAATAGCAAAATTATGAAATGGTTCAAAAATTGTTTATGTAACCGTAAACAGTTTAGTTTCAATAATAATGATAATGAATTAAGTTTCTAATCATTTCATATAGCGTTCCCTAAGGTTCGTTTTTGGGACCTCTATTGTTCTTGCTTTATATAAATAACGTAAATAAAGCCTCAAATTTAATGTATACTATGTTTGCTGATGCTGAAAATTTCTTTCCAATAATGATGTTAAAAATCTTCAATATCAGCAATAAAAAAACTCCTTCTTTACCAGTGTAAAAAAATTTCCAAAGCATCTATCCATCAAGGTATTTTTCCTGAACGTTTAAAACTTGCCAGGGTTAACCCTTTCAATAAAGAAGGCGATAGATCCAATATCAGTAATTATCGTCCCATCTCTGTTCTTTCTATATTTTCTAAAATTTTAGAATGAATTATTTTCAACAAGGGAATACAATTATTTTAATTACAACAACTTACTTCATAACAATCAGTATGGTTTCAGAAAAGGGAGTTCAACTGAACAAGCCATTATTCAATTTATACATAACATCTCTGAATCTTTTGAAAAATCCCAATATATAGCGTTTTTATTGACCTATCAAAAGCTTTTGATATGGTCGATCATCACATTTTAGTTCAAAAAATTAAACATTATGGTTTAAGCAATAGAATCTTAAAATGGTTTGAAAGCTATTTAACAAATTGAAAACAACTTGTGTATAGTAATGATGGTCAGCAAAGTGAACCCCTGAGCATAACCTGTGATGTTCCACAAGGTTTTATTCTCGGACCACTGCTTTTTTTAATCTATGTATACGACTTAAACAAAGCTTCCAAATTAAAAATTATAATGTTCGCTGATGATACTAATCTTTTCTAATCCCATACTGATATTTATGAACTCTTTTCAACTACAAACAAAGAACTCAATCACATTTCTAATTGGTTCAAAGCTAATAAAATTAACCTAATAAATATTAACAAAACAAAATGAATTATCTTCCACTCCTGCGCAAAAAAACGTTTTTTAACAAGTAATATGCCTCAAATCATAGCCTACTATAATTACACGGCCTGATTTGTTGCATTTTCCGTAAAAAATTAAGAGGCCAGTTTTTTTACGGCTTATTTTCTATTATAAGACAACTAACAATATTTAATAATTAAAATAATGTGATTATTACAATTATTATGTCAAAGTTTGGTTTATATTTTCATATTCATGTAGTATATATTTCTGATTATATTCTGACTGATTGTCTGTTTCATTATAATCCATTAGAGAGTGGAATAATAAAATAGACTTACAGACAGTCTACTTGGTATATTGTATACAGTCGAACTGCTTTTTTTTTTTGCAATGTTATTCAAGTGGAGATAACTTCAATTATAAATGTAAGAAATCTCAATATTATTGTAGTTTTTGAAATTTTTTTTAGTTATAAAAATGGTTAACAAATGCGTTGTCACAAACTGTAAAACTGGTTACTCTACTGGTCCAAAAAAGTCTACATTTCATTTTCCTGAAGAAAGCAGTTTGCGAGAACGATGGATATATTTTGTCAATAGAAAAGATTGGCTTCTATCTAAATACTCTTCTATTTGTATTGATCATTTCGAGGATAAATTTATTAAATATGGGAAAAGATGCACCATGAAATGGGATCTCCAACCTGTTCCAACTATTCACACAGATAAAAAAAGTAGTTCATTAACTTTAAGGGTGCCAAAGTTGCCTAGCAAAGAACCAACTTTAAGATACTTGGGAAAAGATAAGTTCAGTGATTTTCAAAATATTGATAAAATAATTAGTCTTAATTCGTTAAAAGAACAGCATTGCCCACCAGGATTTACATTTAAGAAACTTCACGATAGTGTTGTTTTCTATAAACTCTGTTTTGATGAAATATCAGGTATACCAACTGTGTTTGAGTCAATAACAGTTAATAAAGATCTTAATGTTTCATTGTCGTATAAAGGATATCATATTTCTTTACCTGAATGGTTTCGCAGTGGTCATAATTGCAAATTAACAAACTGTAGTATGATAGAAAATTTTCCTGCCCATATTCGAAATAAAGCTAATGCTTTTAGTTCAATTTTGACAGAGCTAAATGAAATAAGATACTATTCTCCGCAAGGCAGACCTCCATATTCTGCTTCCGTTATACGTTATGCATTAATTTTACGTCACACTTCAGCACAGTCATATAAGTTGTTGTTAGAACAATTACCCTTACCATCTTTTAGTTTATTAAGAAAAATTCAAACTGGTGATATAAATGCATTTAAGGCTATAAAAGTTTTGTTACAAAAAAATTGTGTATCAAGTGACTGTGTGCTTCTTGTGGATGAAATGTATTTGCAAAAAGCAGCCCAATATCAAAGTGGGAAATATGTTGGTGAAGATTCAGAAAGTAATCTTTATAAAGGTATTGTTGTTTTTATGATTGTTGGGTTTCAAAAATCTATTCCTTATGTTGTGAGATCATCACCTGAAGTGTATAAAGTAAGAGCTGTTGTTGCAGATAATCATTCTACCAATGTTAGTGCATTTTCAGAGTTTCATAAAGCATATAATGGAGATGGAAAGTTATTTATATGTCATCCAGTTTACAATGGAGTATTAAAAACATACTTGTTGTTCGATATAATCCATTTAATAAAAAATGTTAGAAATAACTTGTTAAATGCAAAAAAATATGTATTTCCTTCTTTTTCATTTGATTTGTTTAAAGACAAAGTTGAAGTTCCTGCTGGTTACATAGCATGGAGTTTATTTCATAATATCTATGAAAAAGATCAGTTATTAAACAGCAACTTAAAAAAAGCGAGAAAATTAAATTATCAGGTCACTCATCCTGGAAATAACAAACAAGATGTCAACCTTGCATTGGCAATATTTGATGAAACAACTACAGCTGCAATACTAAGTTATTTTCCTGAAAGAAATGATGCAGCACAATTTTTATCATTGTTTCATAAGTTGTTCATCACACTTAATTCAAAGCAGAAATTTAATACATCCAATCAACTTGGCAATGCTGCCGTGAAGGGTGATAACAAGCCCACATTTTATAGAGAAATTGCAAATTGGATTGATATTTGGTCAAAATGTGATTATTTCACATTTTCCAAACAAACTTCTCTTGCTCTTATTACAACAATACGGGCAACTGCATCTCTTATCGATGATTTGCTTGAAGAAGACTATACATATGTTCTTACTTCCAGGTTACAAAGTGATCCTTTGGAGCTATGTTTTAGTATGTATAGACAAATGAGTGGTGGCAGATTTTTAGTGAGTCTTTTAGAAGTATGCAATAGTGAAAAAATTTTGGCAGTAAGAAGTCTTCTAAAGGAAGATATTAATTTCTGGGAAGAAAATATTGATCAAACATTTGATAATTCTAGTTTAGAAAATATTATGCAAGAAATTGATTTGTTGTCTACAGAGATTTTAGAGTGTCAGCTTTCTGAAGATAGCATGGAAGTTGCTGTTACAATAGCAGGGTATGTCGCAAAAAAGTTGAAAAAAAAAATTGGATGTCATACTTGTAATCAAAAAATGGTATCTACAGACCAAGATATTCTTAATAATGAATACTTGAAAATATTATCCAGAGGTGGACTTATATATCCAAGTCAACCTCTGTCTGATTATATTTGTCATCTTTTTAGTATTTTAGATGTCATATCTCCTATTTTAATCAAACATTGCATTTATTCTTTTTCAATTAAAAGTTTTGCAGAACAAATTTTAAAAAATTATTACAGCAGTGTTGATTTTACTTGTGACAATCACCAAGAGTTGGGTTTAAAATATGGATCTCGTATCGTTATAAATATCTTTTATAACAATTTTCAAAAAGAAACAACTGATTCAGTAAGAAAAGATCAGGTGAAACAATTTAAAAAAAGACAGAGAACCAATAATAATTCCTAATAAAAAGCTATTTCCTTTATACTGTTTAATTCAATTATAATAAAAACAATATAACAAACCTTTGATATTATTTCCACTAAAGATTTGTAGATGGTCTTTGCAACATGTAATGTTATTTTAAGTACCATGTTTATATATAGCTATCTGAAAGCCTATTTCAGTATTCTGTTTTACTGGAATAAACTGAAGCAGGCAATCAGTTAGCGAAAAATCCAGTATAACATAATGTAACTACACCAAAAAAATCCGAGTCATTTTTTCCAATTTTAATAAAATATGTATAAAACTTTCACAATACTAACAGAAGAAGTCAAGCTTTCAAACGTTAGCCGTAAAAAAACTGGCCTCTTAATTTTTTACGGAAAATGCAACAAATCAGGCCGTGTAATTATAGGCCATGCTCAAATTTATATTGATCAAACAATAATAAAGAGAGATGCTGTCATAAAATTCTTAGGTGTTTACCTTGTTTGGATTAAAGATGTTTACAACATCTTTAACGCCGTCAGAAACATGCAATCCGCGTAGTTAATTATGCGAATCCCTTTTCACATTCAAAATACTTTTTTGATAATATTGATAATTTTTAAAGACCTTTTTTCTTTAAAACCAATAAATATATACACATAAAAAAATAATAGTTTTTTAAATGAACCCTTTTGTAGAACTAAGTTCATTCAGTTTTGTATTACATATCGTGCACCTCATCTTTGGAATAAAATAGTATTACCAAATTTTGATCCTTCTATTATCGTTTCTGTTTTTAAAATTAAGTTAAAAAAATTCATTCTCTCTATGTACAGTATTCTAAAATTCTACTAAAAATGTATGTAAAATGTATTTGTTAAATCTTCAGCTTACTATATATTCAAATGTGTTGTATCTTTGCGTAATGTAAATACGTTAAATTTTCTATATAATACATTTTCTATATATATGAATTATGTAAAAGGACTAACATTGTAAACTAAAAAAAAAAAAAAAAAAAAAGTACCTTATTGGGTTTGAGGCAACTTTGAACCTTGGTTCTCGTAGTTCTGAGCCAATTGGCATAAGTGCGTCAAAAGAATTTGCAAGCATTGGCATAAGTGCAAATTGTCATAAGTGTGAACTGGCATAAGTGCAAAGCAATTGCAAAAATCTGGCATAAGTGTGAACTGGCTTAGGTGCGAACTGATATAAGTGCGAAGCAGTTATGTCAAGCTATATACAAGTGCGAAGCAATTATGTCAAGCTATATATACGCGCGAAGCAGTTATGTCAAGCTATATATATAATTAATTAACCGTACGCTAAATTAAAGCAGTAAGGCAGTGACCGTTGGTTTTGACATATCAAAAGCTTTTTACAAACTTTTACATGCTGGCTTTTTCTATAAACTTTATATAAAATTATATTTTCAACAAGATATTTTTGATAAATAATATTCTTCTCTATTTTCAATAACTTTAAGCGTATAGCAAGCTTCTATCCTATAAAAAATTATTGGTATAAGTGCTTAAAAGCACTTATGCCAATTCGCACTTATGTCAGTTTGTACTTATGTCAATGTTAACAAATTCTTTTGGCGCACCTATGTCAGTTTGCATTTATGTCGATTTGCACTTATGCCAGTTTTTGCAACTGCTTCGCACTTATGACAGATCGCACTTATACCGATCCGCACTTATGCGAATTTTTGCAAATTCTATGCTAGTTCGAAATTGTGCCAGTTTTTGCAACTGCTTTGCACTTATGAAAGTTTACACTAATACAAGTTTACACTTGCGCCAGTTCTCACTCATGCCAGTTTGCACTTATGAAATTCGCGCTTATTCAGTCGTCCACTAGATTCTTATTTATAAAAGAAGTCATGTTGATAAAGTTTAATTTTATTGTACGTTATATTTTTATATTCACGTCATCTTAGAAATAATGTAGAGTAATAGAAAAAAAAGAATAAAAAAATTACCGTATTGAAAACACCTGAAATGACTACCTGCGTGATAATTACCACTCCTAGTGACCAAATGCCCAGATTTGAATCCCCCAACCTCAATTACATGTATTTAGACATATAAATGTTCTATTTGATTGAAAAAACATCCCAAGGCCATCCCTAAAATGACTACCTGTACAGTTATGACCGCTCAAAGACCAAATATGTCCAGACTTGAATTCCCTAATCTCAATTACCTACATTTAGACAAAATGTCTGATCCAACTGAAAAACCATCAGGGTATTTCAGGACCACCCCTAAAATAACTTGAAACCACTTGAGCGGTAATGATTACTTTTACCTTAAAATGGAGCCCTGAAATGAATTCCTTGGCCTCAAAAATTCATATAAACATGTATCAGATGTCTATATTTAGCCCATAAATAGTTTTCCCATTTTTAGACAATCCTAGCCCACTTTGCACTGCGCCACGGCTGCACTTTTGTGGATTGAAACAAACATTCATAACTATTTTTTCTATTGAAATCAAAATTCTCAATACATATGATCCTAATGTGTTTAATTTTTTATGCTTTGTGTGGGAAAATGACTTATTATCACATTTTTAAAGATCTTTTTTGTGTAAAATCAAAAATAAAAACAAATAACAATTTTCAAACAAAAATGAAAAACAGAATCAATTATTTTATGTATGAATAAATAAACTTTATATACGAATTGTTAAACCAAGTTCATCAGTTTTGTATAACGTATCGTGCACCATATCTTCTATAGATATCTTATACATTTCCTCATTTTCGATGTAAACTGAAAAGATTTTATCTAAGGACAATATAATTAGGGCTGTCCGAAATAGATCTTAAAGGCGGGTGACGTAAGTGTTTTTTCCCGAGTAAGGCCTAGAAAATTTTTTTTCCCGACTAGACAAAGATCTGTAAAAAAAAAAAAAAAGATCGAAATGTATTTATCATTTTTCACAAATTTTTGCTATTTTATTTTACTTTGAGTATAAAATAAAAATTATGTAAAATAAAAAAAAAAAAGAGAAAAAAAAAAAAAAGTATAGTAGAATTGATGTTTAAGAAAGGAAACTGTGTTTTTATTTTTTCAAATATTAAATATATTTTTATTTTGTTTTTAATTGCTATTAAAAATACCTTACATTTTATCTACATTGTTCCTTATATATATTATTTGTTGGACAATAAATAAATTCTAAAGCAATTTAAATTTCGGTTTCCCCTGAACTTCTTATAGGATTATAATATACAAAAAATAGCACACCAACACTGATAAAAGTTTTTTTTAAAGTTGCAATTGTCTAATAAATATTGTTCATAAAAATAAACATTTCAATACTACATGCTTCTTCCACTGACCTCATATTGTACAGTCACAAAAGAGTAAAACAATGAAATAAATTTCTAAATATACGCGTTGATGTTATATATTTTTTTAATAAGTAAGATAGTATAATATACCACAGTAATTGAAGAGTAATAAAAACATTAATACCCAGGTAAAAAAAACATAAATGGACTGGCACAGGGACATTTAAGGTAATACCTCATTGGTTCATAGAAAATAAAAGATGTATAGAAAAAAACCAAAACATAGAAAACACTTAGAACGTGAATCTAAACAAGACAAAAATCAAACTAATCCAGTTCCATATTGTTTGCTAATTATTATTATTCTATTTCCAGACCCTTCATGTTTGTGTTCCAGAATTTTTATGTTTGTGTTCCAGATTCTTCAAGTTTGTGAATATTTCAGTAAATAGTTTACAACTTCAAAAATGTAAAAATTTATATACAAAACACGGATAATGTTATTATTTCATATTTTTACTCATCTAATGTTATTGAAAAAGTTGATTTATAAAATATCTTGTGACACAAAATCTGTCCATCATTCAATTGTTATAAATATATAAACAAGTTGTAATGTAAGGTTTCCTTCGGATTACATTACTTGAACTTCATTCGAGAAAGAATTGGTAATTTTAAGAGGCTAAAAAAAAATTGAAATTAAACATTCATACTATTATAACAAGATAATAAAAAATATCAATGAATGTATATAAAGTACCTTTACAAAAATATATTTCGGTAAATTATATTGCGTCAAACTGTCTGAACTAAAATTGCGATGCTGAGGTAGATTTATATGCAGTTTAGGTAGCAACAGTTCCCCAGAATAAAGAGGAAACAGATTAAATGTTAACTTATGTTCGTCTTGAGGAAGAATTCGCAGTTGAATCTAAGATATGTTGAAAAAGTACATCAAATAATTGAAAATTTTATTATAAAAAACTGTTGCATTTTTTTAAATTTGTACCTGACTATTTCCAGCTAACATAAAAGACTCGCCCTGTTCAATATGAGCCTCCACCTCTTGAACAAGATTTGTACAATTGATTATAAAAAAATCAATAATTAATGCTTCTTGAACACAACCAAATGATGGTATGTCTAAACAAATAACTTGATGAGTTAAATTTTTTTAAAAAAAACTTTAAAAAATCAAAAAATAAATCAAAGGTTTTCTGTCCAATGAAACATATAGTCAATGAATTTTTATTGATTATCTGAAATCATAGCTAGTAACAAATTGTCACATAGCTAGTAACAAATTATAATAATAATAGTCTAAAATATTACAAAGGTGCTGCAGAGTGTGCAAGTTACACCATGATATATCCTTTTTTAGAGGCTTCTTCATTCCTTATTTCAAAGACCTAGAAAATTCTATTAGATTGTGGTAGACTTGCCTGATAAAATAAAAAATATAAATTGCCGCAAACCTGTTACCCTCAATAGAAAATTTTTCCATACCTACTCTTAATTTAAACAAAGATAAATCAATTTTACAGGTAGGTAGGTCAAACATCGTTTCTACTGCAGCACCACCAGATAATCTAAAACAAATTTTTTTAATGAAAAACAAACAGAAAAAGATTTTGCAGTTAAAAAAAAAAATTAGCTTAATAAAATAAATCTAAAAAAAAAGTTCAATAAAATTTTGAATTAAGAAAGCTTTTGAAATTAAGAAGTTAAGAACAATTGTGAGTATTGCGTAATTGTGTACACTAATGCTCTGATATTTTATGAATTCATTAACATAATAAACAGCACAATATTTAAGAACATTTTATTTTATAAGCAAAGCTTCAAAATTCAGCGTTAGATTATTTGATCTACTTAGTTTGAGTCGATTTTGATATTGAGATATAGCAGGATGTATATTTTTGACCGTAGAATCTGAAATTTAGTGTTTTTTTGTATTAACAAAACTATTATAACCTTTTCTGTTTTTTAAATTAGTGCATAAGGTGCTAAAGGTGCACGAGGTGCTAAAGGTGTATGAGGTGTTAAATGATAAGTATCAAACCAAAAAACCATACTAGCATTTATAAAGACATTGGAATTTTTTCAGAATATTAAAGTCATAATTTATCATATACATAATTTTTTCAAATAGCTTACTTATATTGGAAAGATCTGATATTGGCTGATAATAAAAGATCCTTATTTTATGAATTGGAACCACATTGACTACTTTAAAAATATCTGAAAAAATACAATTTTAAATCAAAATATTGTTCATTGTACAGAAAAGCTAAGTAATATGAGCATTAAGATGCTATATGACCTCGTTAATAATTGTTCTAATTGATGGTTGTTCTGGTTAATAGTTCTTCTGGTTGATGGTTGTTCTGATTGATGGTTGTTCTGATTGATGGTTGTACTGATTGATGGTTGTTCTATTTAATAATTGTTCTGATTGATGGTTGTTCTGTTTAATAGTTGTTCTGGTTGATGGTTGTTCTGATTGATGTTTCTGTTGATTTATTTGCCATATTTTTCAAAAAAAGAAAAGAAAAGGAAATTAAAAAACTAAACAAAATTTTACCTTTTCCATTTCATAACATAATGTCCTATTTGTGATGTACGTGCTTCTGCAGTTGACTCAAGATCAGAACTTTTCAAAACATTTATGCATTGACATTCTCCAGCATTCTCTGTAGAATTTAAGCTCACTAAAAACAAAAAGTGAAGTGATATAGATGTAAACTTTTTAAATATAAAGATTATCATTTCTTATAAAAAGTCATTCAGACCTTATCAATCCTTGATACATAGATGAGTATTTGACTTTATGAAAATCCCGGAATTTTTTTTAATGAAAATCCCGGAAAATTATTTTATTAAAAATTGATCGTATTAACTAAACACAAAAACTTAAGTTTTTACAAAAAAGAATTTCTAATATTCGAAAAAGTTAATTTGAATAAATTAAAAAGCAAAAAAAAAGAAAAAAAAATGTTACGAAAAATTGATCTTGTAAAAATTTTAACTATAGAAAACATGTTTGTTTAAATGCAAAAGTTGTTGTTTTTAAAATTTTATGTAAAAATTTATAATTTTTTTAAAATAAATTAATAAAAAAAACATACAGAAATTTCTGGAAAATTAAAGGAATTTTAAGTAAATTTCTGGAATTCCAGGAATTCCAGGAAAAAACTCACTATGTTGAAAAGGATTGATAAGGTCTGAATGATAAGGATTGATAAGGTATTAAACATTTTATAAAATGTTATATATAAAAGCAAGGTCTTCCCTTTATGTAGGAGAACACTTTGCAAAAGCTAATTAAATTTAATAACATTTTGCCATAAAAAGGTCTTGTTGATCAACTTGTTAAATATCCTAAATGTTCTTATTTTTATTCAAACAATGTCCACTTTAACAGTGTTATTGCTGATATTAGACTAACTGGTTAATTTTGACTAATTGATTAAAATATTTGTAGTTATGTTAAGTTAGTACAATTTAACATATTAATATAACTTAATATTATATTTTGCATTTATACTTTGAAAACTGAACTTTTCATTATATATATATATATACATATATATATATATATATATATATATATATATATATATATATATATATATATATATACATATATATATATATATATATATATATATATATATATATATATATATATATATATATATATATACATATATATATACATATATACATATATACATATATAAACACTTACTAAAGAGTATTTTTATAAGCATTTGCTCACTTTTTTTGCTTATCTTTATCCATACGGTTTTTTAGAAAAAGAAGAAAAAACGACTGTTTATATGTTTTGATGATTTAAATGTTTCAGAAATGCGCTGAAAAAAGAAACGTTAAGCTAAACTTAAACTAGGAAAAAAATTGAAAAAACTAAGCACAAAGCACTACCATACGTGACTAGCTGATTGACTAAACTTGTTACCCGCATTTGTTCATTAAAAATTGAGTTCCTTAGCTTAAAAAGAATTATAAAAGTACCAAACATTTTAAAAATACATTTAATTACTTTTTAAACTGTTGCTGCTCTCCAACTTGAAATTCAAAGCCATTAAAATTTTTATATTCGACGACATTTTTGTTCACAAAGAAGAAGAGAAATGAAAGAGTTTTTATAATAATAGAAAAAATTCAATGACTGTTGTTTGTCGTGATTGATATAATATGGTTGTGTTTTTAATAAAATTATAGTGAATCAGCGTTATTTTGTTTGAGAGTGCCAAAGAAAAGTAAGTACAAATTTTTTTATTACATTTTAGTTTTGCAATCGTAGTTAGCAAAGATAAATAAATTACATGAATCATGACTTCAGTTATTGGTAGTTTAGTATTTAAATCATGCAAAATTACATGTGTACACCACATAAGTAATATTCATAGTATTGTTCTAACATTCATTTATAATGGCTGTACACTTATGCCTAACATAAAATGTAAGACTATACGATTTAAATTTGACTTTAATTTTTAAATGCTGAACTTTATATCTTATAAATAAAATAATTTTTATTTGATGCCACAGATGACTGATGCCATGCCCGAATGTAAAAAGAAATGCAGACAGTACAGTATTGATTATTTGAAGTTTGGCTTCATTCCATCATTGACAGATAAACAATTGCCTATATGTCTTTTATGCAACAAAATTTTGGGCAATGACGCTAACCATCTAAGCTGAAGGATCATTTGAAAAGATGTCACCCTGATAAAACAGATAAAGATTTGAAATACTTTCAAACACTTAAACGTAAACTTCAGAATAGACCCATGCTGGACAGAATGTTCTCTTCGACATCACAAAGAAATGATGATGGTTTGAGACCGTCTTACAACATCTCGCTAGTTATAGCAAATTCTGGAAAACCGCATACTATTTTGTCAGCCGTTGAAGTGGATTTAAAAACTGCTTTCCACAAACCTGCATCTGATATTATTAAAAGAACTTCCTTAAGCAACAATACTGTTGAAAAGCAAATTGATGAAATGAGTTCTGATATTGAATGCTTCTTGTGTAATTATTTGCAAACGACACATTTCTCTATGCAACTGGACGAGTCAACTTTACCTGGTAATGCAGCATTATTATTGGCATATGTTCGCTTTATTATGAATCAAGAAATTCACGAACTGCTCTTCACAAGAACGTTGACAACCGACACTAAAGATGAATCAATATTTAATGTTTTGAAAGACTACTTTATTGTAAAAGCAATCCCTTTATCAAATATCATATCAGTAGCTACAGATGGAGAATGTGCCATGATTGGACGTTATCATGGATTTATAAGCTATTTAAAACAAAATGTGCCAGGGGTGTTTGGTTATTTTCACAGTTGACAGTTGTGTAAAGAAAATAACGAACACTTTCATCAGTTACTTCTTCACACTGAAGTACGCTGGTTGTCAAAAGGCTAATGTTTAACAAGATTCTTTGGACTTTTTGAGACTATTTTAGAATTTTTGGATACTAAAGATAAAATTTTAAAAGACAATTTAATAAAATGGAAAACAGACATTGCCTATTTAACAGATTTGTTTACAAAATTTAATATGGTTAACTTGCAGTTACAAGGCGACAATCAAATTTTGATTAAAACAAAATCTTATCAGCGTTTCTTGCCAGAGTTAAACTAATGAAGCAAAATATTGGACAGGGCAAAATTTCCCAGTTTGTCACAGACAAACTGTCCGTAAGACAACATTTCAACCTACGTTCAACATTTAAATGCCCTCTATTTAGATATGAAACTAGGTTTGAGGTTGTTTTGACTATGGTAATACCACCGTGGATAATTAACCTATATGGTGAGAAACATGTCATAATACAAAAGGAACTGATTGCACTAAGTACAAACGAAGAACTTAAGGTCCAGTTTAAAAATGGATATCAGCAATTCTAGATGCAAAACATCATACCCTTTACTTATCTTGTATTATGGAATATAGCGAGGAAATTTTTTATTTCCTTTACATCCTCATACCTAACAGAAAGACGATTCAGTGTTGTTACTGATCTACTAACAAAAAAAAAGAAATAGACATCATCAGCTGAGGAGATTTAAGATTAAACAAAGTTGGCGCCAAATGTTGATAATTTATTATTAAAGCATCATGTTCATCCTTCTATAAAATTTACTTATTGCTTAGTTGCTTAGTTTATTTTTTGTGTTTATTTTATGTTACGTATACAGATACACAACTTTATTTTGAGTATTTTTAATTTAAATGCAATTAATAAATGTATAAAACTTAGCGTGTGTTTTTACTTGACATTTTTAAAACTAAACTTCACTACAGTTAAAAATTAACTAAAAATCAATATCAGGTAAGTTGGAAGTCTAACCAAAACCAAAAAACATAGCAAGGGGTCTATGACACAAAAAAGTTTGGGAATCACTGAGTTACAGCAAGAAAATTAAAGTCAAAAACAACATACAATTGAAACTACTTTATTAAAACTTACTTTATTAAAAAACAAAAATCTGCAATGAAATATTTTAAATAGTAATAATATTATAAATAGTAATAGGAAAGAAACTACAACTTCATGAGACTAACGTTAAATGAACTAAATAAGATGACAAAGATTTCAATTGCATAACTCGGTTCCATAAAACCGTAAAAATTATTTTTTAAAAATTTGATCGGACACTAAACAACCTGGCCAACCTAAACAAGTTTTGAATAGACATTTTATCCGGGACTTTATAAAAAAAATAAATTGAGCCCTGTATATATATATATATATATATATATATATATATATATATATATATATATATATATATATATATATATATATGTATATATATATATATATATATATATATATATATATATATATATATATATATATATATATATATATATATATACATAATATATATATGTATATAAATATATATATATACATAATATATATATATATATATATATATATATATATATATATATATATATAAATATATATATATATATATATATATATATATATACATAATATATATACATATATATATATATATACATAATATATATACATAATATATATATATATAATATATATATATATATATACATAATATATATGTATATATATATATATAATATATATATATATATATATATATATACACATACATACATACATACATACATGCATACATACATGTATGTATGCATGAATGCATGCATACATACATATATACATACAAAAGAGACTTTTTTTTACATTAAAAATCTCTTTCGACTACAATGTATATATATATATATATATATATACATATATATATATATATATATACATATATATATATATATATATATATATATATATATATATATATATAATATATATATAATATATATATAATGCATACCCTAATATATTATATAGTATATATATATATATATATATATATATATATATATATATATATATACACATATATATATACACACATATATAATTATATAAATATATATTTATGTATATATATATATATATATATATATGCAGTTTGGTTTGAAAATCTATTATGTATATATATATATATATACATAATATATATACATTATATATATATATATATATATATATATATATATATATATATATATATATATATATATATATATATATATATATATAATATATA